GACGCTTTCCTCTTCGTTAGCGAGACTCGAACACAAAGCCTGTCAGTCCTGGAGGCGTGTTGTACACAGCACTTGCTAACCCACTAAGCCATAAGACCATTTTCGTTCACATGCGTCCAGTATTCTTGGCCAGGACTTGAGACTTGAAGCGCCAGATCACTGTGCAACGGCGGGCAAGCGTCGCTTGAAAGTAATAACATAAGGATCACATCAACATAAGGAATGAAGCTATATAGTCCAGTCTATTACGCCCCGGTAGCAGTGGACGAAATACTCAGCGGCCTTCCGAGGCACCGGGCCACAGCCTCGGACGTGATAAGTGCCTGCGGCAGGCGCACTGGATAATATACTGGCTGGTGTCTGGTGTCCTCACATCTGCCTGGTCACTACCATGCTCTTCGGGTCACGGATATGTCACTACTCACGGACGGCACCCCGGCTTCCATGCCGAAATCGAGCCATGGCTATCTATCCACCATACTAAACATGCTGTGGCTAGGTGCATTCGCTTCCCTCAGGCGAGCCAAGGCCGGAGCGTTGACTAATAGGATTTATCTCACGCGAATGCTGTTAATGAGCTTGATTGTCCAGGTAGCCGTCCTCGAGGCCAAAAATTCGGAAGTCGCAGTGGCCGAGCCCTCTAGTCAGCGTGGATGACGAGTAGTGCTCATGGCAGCCCGGGACTTAAGGTCTGCCTTGCCGGCATGCCGGCCCCGGGCCGGGGCAGACTTTACAGCTGCCAGCAGCATGTCGTACCTTGCACTATGATGGGCGAAGAAGAGAGCTAAACACTAAGTACTAAGTACTCGCCCCACAGTCGGCCGAGAATGGTACGAATATTAATCCCTCCGGCCACCTCCCCAGCCAATCTGCGCCGTGGCGACTGCCGACTGGTGCGTCGGTGACCATCCGCCCAAGTCCATCTGCCGTCGCGTGTCTTGATTACCGAGATGCCCTGAGACCTAAAACACACTGGAGTCGAGTAGACCATAGCTCTACGAAGGTTGCAAATCAGGTTCAAGCAATATTGCTGCCTTTGCAGCCCCAAGTTCATGATTCGCTGGCTGCGCAGCTGCATGGCCTCAACACTGTAACATAACATTCGCTAGAGTAGATAATCACATTTCGGATAACGCGCGCCGGATAACCAAGGCCTGCATCGCATTAAGCCCCAAATCTGTCTGGAGGAAATTTTTCTGTTCTTTTTCTGACCGTTTTGCCAGCACTTCCAGGCAAACACCATCAATGACACCATGGTGAATGAAGACAAATGTGAGATGGTCCATCGCAGGGTGAGTTGACAGGAGGAACGCCCGCACAAACGCCTCACCATTGGGAGCCCCAGAGTGGACCATGGGAGACACCACAGGTGCTGGCATTTGGGGGATCTGTCGGTTTCTTCTAGGTGCCGCCGGCTACAGCGGTTCATCAAGATTAATTCCTGATTAAAAGAGGAGATGCACATGATGGACCCATTACCTGCGCAGCATTAAGGCCCCTGGTGGGCCGCCGCAGCGGTACGCTGTTGCTAGGCTTTGGCTCAGGTTGATTCTGAGTCTTACGCATTACGCCCCTGCGCTGCGTCAGACATCTCCGCATGCAGCCCTCCGCGGGCCAGGCGTTCTTGTACCGCTGCAAGAACGGCAGCTTCTTCGCAATCTAGTAAGACAATTCATCATGGCCAGCACACAATGAGGTTGAGTGGGAGCTATACCCCTTCCAAGAATGCGACTATGTCTTTGGCAGACTGCTCACTCCAGGGTGCATTTTTAGGGAAATAATGTTCGGCTGCATCAGGTATCGCGCCCTGACCATATCATGATTGGCGGTGAGTCTCAATCTGAATCTGACGTTTTTCACCGTAGATTTCACATGAGTACTTACACGCAATGCTTCAGTTTCCTCTATACTTAGCCCTTTTATACTACCGGCTGATCTTAAGTCGTTCCATGGCAAGGACCGCTCTATCGGTCGGTTTGGGGGCATCACTAGCTAGACAAGACGATGGAGGAGATCAGAGAAGATGAGGTTGAGTTGTACGAGGCCATTGTGAGAGGCTTATGAAGACATCACGAGTAGAAGCGTTCACGCGGTCTGCTGAGCTCTCCGACATCCTGTGGGAACGACAGTATCCCAAGCAATCAAGAAATCTCTCCTGGTGAGAAGTTGCCTGAAGCGTTTTCGGGCCGCGGGGACAGAATCACTCGCTGAGTCTCTCGTCCAATTCCACCACTTCTGCCTGCTGTGATGTCAATATTGCATGTGCAACGAATGTCGGATCTCTCCGAGTGAGAGCGAGATTGCGTCGACAGCCAGTGGTAGCTGCCTGTCGTAGTCGGACCCCGTGCACTCCCGTCCGCGGAAGTCACTGTATGAGACTGCACGAGGTCACAATCCCGAAAACAAT